AAAATCATCCAAACACACATTTCTTAAAAAAAAAATAAAGAAGATAGCAGCTCCTCCATCTGCAAAGGGGTTGGCTGTAGTCACCCTGATTCCTTGGTACCAATGGCCAGGGCCTGGATATTGGCTTCTGGGTGGTGAGCAGCCCGCCTTAGCCTGGTAATATTCTCGGATTGAGGTACAATTAAAAACTAGGAAAAAGTGATATTGTTGCAGAAATCTCGGAAAGAAATACACAGAGACACAGAATTTGGATAAAATAATAAAATTTCTTCTTGCGAGCGGGTGGGAACGCCAGAAACCAGTCTGGTCTGTGCGCCCCCTTTGTTCAGCATTTCCCTTTCTATAACCTTTTTAGCCATTATCTCATCCCTAGTGGTCACTGATATGTAAATACAATTCCAGTTCCTATTTACAAGTCACAGACACAAGATAGGCCATATACATTGTAAATTCACCCTGGCATGGTAACTTTGTTAGGTTAATGAAGTTACTGGTTAGTCAGATAATCGTCACCTTAAACAAGGAGCTATAGGAAAAGCAAATTTTAAAAGAACACATTGCTTACTTTGCTTCTACAACTACCTTAATATTCAATCTATTAAGTTATCTAAAACTTTTCCGTGTCAATATGGGGGGAATAGATCTAACTCCCAAACCTGCTAGATATCCAAAATGACAGTTTGTTTTCTAAGATTAAAGAATGAATTCTAGGAACAATGGAGGTTAAGAGTGGGAAAAATTGGGCCAGGGATTTAGCTCAGTGGTTCCACCATCTGCCTAGCAAGCACAAGGACCTGAGTTCAATCCCTGGTACAAAAAAAAAGAGTAGGAAAAATTAAGGCCAGGGAATTTAGCTCAGTGGTGCTGCATCTGCCTGGCAACCACAAGGTCCTAAGTTTGATTCCCAGTACTAGAAAAAAAAATTTTTATTTTACAGGAAAAGTTTATTGAGAGAAAAATAGCTTCTCTCTAAGAGAGACAGAAAGGGGACCCTGTTTCCCAGGGTGTTTTTATGGCGCAAAGCCACAAGGTGAGGTGGGGTCAAGGTGGGACAAAACTATAGTCAACTAGTAAGATTCCAAGTACAGTTGCATAGGTAATATTTTTGTTCAGTGAGAAATCACAAGGTGGGTATGAGGTGGGACAAAACTGGTCAACCAATAAGATAACAAGTATAGTCGCTTTGGTAATATTGATTAAATGGGGATCCAATGGGGAAGCAGGTCACATAGCAAGCGTACAAGGACGGAAGAAGGGTTTTTGGTAAGGGATGGATTAAGATCTTGGTCCCCACCCAGGTAATTGATACCTATTTAGAATATCAGGGGCCGGGGATTTAGCTCAATGGTTACACTGCCAGTCTGGAAAGCGCAAGGTCCCGAGTTCGATCCTTGGTACCAAAAAAAAAAAAGATTCTTAGACTATCACACTGCTGTTCACCCCCAGGGGAAGTATATGGGTGTAGTAATTATTTCTCTCTTTTCACAATGCCAACCAGTGAATGTGCCTCAATCGGGTTTTTTTTCCTTAATTGTTTTTTATGCTGAGGGGCCAGCTTTTTCTAATTGCCTTATAATAATTTCTAACTAACTCAGCCATCTGCAGGAGATAAAAAAAATTTTTCAGATGAAAACTTCGGTTTCAGAACCCAACCCCAGTTAATTTATCCTTTTTTCTCTCAAAATACAACAGTCCTGGGAAATTCTCCCGCACATGCCAAAGGGCTTGGCCAAGCTTTATCATTTGCAACTGGGCCTCTGTCACCTGTGAGGAGACTACCCTTTCACCTGGGAATCAGGACCATTTCCCCTGCGGATTCTTTCCCCTAGGAACAAGGACTATTTCTCCATTTTCTCCCCATGGCAGTCAGGTGACTCTCTTTATCAGATTCCACAGATTTCCACCCAAAGCACTTCAAGAGCCCCACACCCCTCCTGACCTCTGCCTGACTCCCCTCCTCGAGGCTCTTAAGGACTGTGGCCTCCAAAGTTCTTCCACAGAAGGGTGGTGACGGTCCCACACCAGCCCCTGTTGCAGATAGGTAAGTTAATAGATATCCTGTAGGCAGGTAGGCAGGCCTCGAAGACCCTACGTGGAGGACAGTCAAAACACAGACTCTGAAGGCCAGCATTGTAAAAGTAGAGAAACTGCCACACTCACGTAGAATAAATAGCAGTGACTGATAATCTAAATCACCTGGGTGGGGGACCGAGCACTTCCAGGAAAGATCCCTCATCCACCCCTGAAAACCCTTGCTCAGTCCCTTGTACGTTTGCTATGTGACTTGCTTCCTCATTGGATGCCCATTTAATCATTACCTGAGCGACTATACTTGTAATCTCTTTTGAGGGTTTACCAGGGATAGAAATCAGGACTTTTTGCCTTAGAGGCAGGCGTGGCACTGAGTTTAATCCTCAGCCCTACTTTTCACAATCTTATTGGTTGATCCTGGTCTTGTCCACCTTGTGATTTCTTTTTCCTTTTTCTTTCTTTTTTTTTTTTTTTTTTGGTACTGGGGATTGAACTTGGGTCCTTGAGCTTGTGAGGCAGGCGGCGGAACCACTGAGCTAAATCCCCGGCCCTACCTTGTGATTTCTTATTGGATGAGTATTCCCTAAGCAACTGCACTTACAATCTTACTGGTTGACTATGGTTTTGTCCCACCTTGAGCCCATCTCACCTCCTGGCTCTGTCCCATAAAACACCTTTGAGAAGCAGAATTGCCGAGGAACCCGTTTTCTGGTCCCTCTTCTCTCTCTCTTAGGCAGAAGCTTTCTTCCTCGAAATAAATTTTTCCTACTCTTAACCTCCGTTGTTCCTAGAATTCATTCTTGGGTTTTAGAGAACAAGATCTCGAGTTTCTGATACCTAGTAGGTTCAGGAGCTCCATCTCTTCCCGCTATGTCACTCCCAGCCAGCAGGGCGGGGCCAGGGGTCAGAAGGGTTTGTGCCCGGTGGGGAACTGCCAAGGAGACTGGGTGAAGAGAAAGCAAAGCCTCAGTTCCAGCCTTCCACTGATGTAATTATTTTTCATTAAAACACACTACAGTGTGGACATCTAATAGGTTGGTGATTGTTCTTTTGAATGAATGAACGAACGGTTTATTGTGGTGGTGGACATGGAGCCAAGGACCTTGACCCTCATAGGCACACGCTCAGCCTTGTTATTTGTTACTTGATAAACACTTTCAAATATTCTCTGGTTTAATCCGCATTCATTCTGCTAAACACCCGTAGATATAACCCATGGGAACTAAAGCTCTCGGAGTTCTGTTTGTTTATTTATTTACTGTGGCACTGGGGTTTGAACCCAGGGCCTCCAGGCTGAAGCTCCATCCCTGGCCTTTTTTTATTTTGAGAGGTTTCACTAAGTCACTGCGTAGCCCAGGCTGACTTCCAACTTGTGATCCTCCTGCCTCAGCTTTCCAAAGTGGCAGGGTTATTGTAGACAGGTAAGTTAATGATACACAGTAGGCAGCCAGTCAGGGCCCTCGAGGGAGTTAATACAGAAGGCAATGGAGGCCGCTTACTGAAGGTCAAGATTCAAAAGGGAGGAATGGCCACACGCACGTACTTCCCCTGGGGGTGAACAGTGGTGAGTGGTATTCTACCAGATAGCAATCGCCGGGCTGGGGGTCAGATCTTACACCTGGAAATCCTGACTCGGTCCTCCATTTGATGCCCCTTTAATCAGTACTAAGCGAGCACGCTCATAGTCTTATTGGTTGACCATAGCTTTGTCCCACCTTGTGCTCGCCTCACCTCGTGGCTTTGCTCAACACAACACCTTTGAGAAGCGGGGTGGGCGGGCAACCCACTTTCCGAACCCCTTTCTGTCTCTCTTAGAAGTTATCTAGGGCTGAGGCTATATAGCTCAGTGGTAGTGGGGCCCCTGGGTTCAATTTCCCAGTACTGCAAATGAAAAAAATCTCAAAATAACAAAAAGCAAACGACCAGATGTAGTGTTTTGTGGGGGAAACTGGAAATGTAGCTCGGGCCTGCTCGGCACAGGAAGTGCGCGGGGTTGGAGGCCTGGTACCCACACGAAGCACGGCACCGCCTCCCCGAAGACCTCGGGCCGCATGGCTGCTGGAGCGAGAGGCCCGGGCTCCGGGCTCCGGGTCCAGCGGCATCTTGAGAATTCCGGGGGCGGCGCCTCCTCCGGGCCCCACCGACGCTGGGGGAAGGGAGGCTGCGAGCAAAGCCTCAGCGGGTCGCACGGGGACGCCTCTTTGATGCTCGTCAAATGTCGTCCCACACACACCACTGTATTTCCCAAGGTGACTTCCTTATCGAGATTTAACGTGGCCCAGAGTTTGAAAAATGCAAAGAAAATAAACTTGGGGGTCTCAAATAGAGCAAAAAACATATTTCTGATCTTCCTTTGTAGTTTATCAAAATTAATTTACACCGGGTGTGGTGCGGGCGCTCGTCATGCCAGCTTCGCTGGAGGCTGAGGCAGGAGGGTGTAAAGTCGACCTTAGCCCGGACAATTTGTCTCCGAAAAGGGGCTGGGGGTGGGGGTGGAGAGCCCTGCGTTCCATCCCTAGTATCGCAAATCGATGGTGAAAACGTAAAAAGGAAAAGAATTTGCCCTCTAAAGCCCGCCCCTCCGCAGGCTAACCCTGGCTGACTCAGGGCGTCAGCGCGGAGACGACGGCCGCTCAGCCTCCGGGCTGCGCTGAGCTGGAAAAACCCGGCTTTCTGGCCCCTCCGGCGACTTTTGAAAGCTTGGAAGGCGCGGGCAGCCCTGGGGCTCTGCCTGGCTCGGCGGCCGGGGGACCCTCCTGACTCTGCGGCCGGCCCCGCGCCCCTGGACGTAGATCGATGCCGGGGCCCCGTTCCCGCGCCCCCAAGACCGGCTCCCACCCTCTGATCCACCGCGACACGTTCCACCCCCGGACAACCTCCACGTCGCACTGCGTACCGCAGCACCCGGTGCTCTGTTCTCAGGGTCCCGGCGGGGGCCGCGACAGCCACCTGCGCGCGGGGACACTCACCCACTGGACGTCATCCCGGAGCGCGCGGGCCGGGTAGCCACTCCGCCGACTGCGCAGCGCGAGTCCCCGGAGCCGGGCAGGTGGAGAAACCGCGAGGTTTGGGGCGGCGCCGCCGCGCACCCCCCCGCCCCCGCCCTGACTCTCGGTGCTCTCAGAGCCAGGCGCGTCCCTCGCCCGTGTCGCCTGGTCGTTCCCTTTGGTCTTCCCCGAGAAGAGGACCGCGATCCCCCTGCCCCACCGGCGGCGCTGACTGGGCGTCATCTACGCGGTGTCATCTGTCACCATGGCCCTGAGACATGAGTGCAGACGAGGAAACTGAGGCAGAGCAGAGCCAGCAGCTGGCAAGGGAGGAGCTGGGATGGAATCTGAGCGCAGGGAGTGAGCGCCCAGACCGGGGCGACCTGGATAGACCTGTTGGTTGGGGACCCGGTGGCTCCCGCACTTTATTCACACCCCGGAAGGAAAGGGGCCGGCGAGGCTGGGCAGAGAGCGGGACCAGTCGACTTCTCGCCTCACTCCCAGCCCGTGCCCCTCAGGCTGCGGGAGGCTCGCACAGCGCGGTTAACCGGAATGCACACTGAGCAAGTGCTGCAGCCCGCCTCCCGCTTTCCGGTTTCCATCTTGAACCGCTTCGTCCTCCTCCCCCGGTTGTCGGGCTTCTCTCTCCAACTTACAGGGAAACGCAATCATCCCCTTTGCCCTACGATCGCGGCCCCTCCCTGCGCTGTGCTTAAACCGGGTTCAGGCTGGACCCCGCCCGCCGCATCGATCCCGGAGTCCACCTTCTACTCCCCGCGCCCGCGTCCACCAGGTTGGGGTGGGGGTCCCTAAACGGGGCCCTGTGAGGGCGCCTCACAGCCCAGAGACGGGGAGGATGGGAACAAGAATTAGGTGCCGTGGTAGCAGATGTCGTCCTGTACTCCAAACACCCACTGATGACAATAAAACATAAATTAAAAATCAAATAAAAACAACTGGCAACTGGCCGGTATTTTTTTAAAATTACCAGTTGGGTGCGGTGGCAAAGGCCTGCAGCATTCTTCGGGAGGCTGAGGCAGGAGGGTCACCGTGACTTCAAGGCCCGCCTGGGCTACATAGTGAGACACTGCCTCAAAAAAAGAAAAACAGGCAGCAAGCCCAGAGCTGCAAGCAGGCTGCAGGACAGGGGGCAGCACCTGGGGGGGGGGGGAGGAGGAGGAGGAGGAGGACATTGTGATGGAGCCAGTCACTTCTGCTCTCCTCCATTCGAGCTTCCTGTGATGTTGCCAGAAACCTGGAGGCTCTGACAGCCTAGGGCTTGGTTGTACTTTTGTTTTGTTTTGGTTTTTGTCACAGGGTCCTGCCTATAATCCAGGCTGGCCTTGAACTCACTATGTGGCCCAGGCTGCTGGCCTTGAACTCGCATGGATCCTCCTGCCTCAGCCTCCCCAGTGGTGGGATGACAGGTGTGCGCCACCACTGGAGGGGGCATTGATCACAGGGCCATCGAAGGGGCCGAGACTTGTGGGACTCCCTCTGAAGCATGTGATGCCCACACTGGGTAAAGCCCTCGAACCGCCTGCCCCCACCGGGACGTGGAGTACAGGAAGTCACCCGGGCCTGGGTTGCTCCTTCTTGGCTGGGTCCGGAGCTCTGCAAAGTGTTGGACACCTGTCGTCCTGGGTATCGAGTCTGGGTCAGGCCCAGTATCTGCTGCTGCCCAGGCCTGGGGAGGACGGGGGTCAAGGGCACTTGGCCCGTGAGGCTGCCTGAACATGGCCCTCACAGCCACCATCCTGGCTCCGCCCAAAGGTGGCATGTGGCCAAGCAGAACTTCTCCTCTTCCAGGGGCGTGGGCCAGTTTCTGGCTGTCACCTTTGACAAACTGGCAATTTCCTTAAATAAATTCAAAATTCTTTGGGTCATTTCAGCCACTCCCAGGAGCTGGGACACCCACCTCTGGCACTGTCTTTTTAGAGCTAAATGTCAGACTCTACAGCCTGGCGTGGTGGTGCCCACCTGTCACCCCAGCACTCGGGAGGCTGAGACAGGAGGATCACAGACCCCGAGTCAGAAGGGCCGGCCCATCCTGGGAGGAGGCAGGAGAGGAGAGGAGGATGGAGCAGCCAGGCTTGCTGGGAACCCAGGAGAGGGAGCAGCGGGCGAGACCCAGAGAGGCCTCACCTACCTCTCCGCCTCCCAACAAAGCAAGGAGTGTGGGGGGAAGGTGACCCAGCCCGGGCCGGCTACCGGGAGCTCTGCCTCATGGCCCAGGTGCAGCAGAGAAGCCTCCTCGGAAGAAAGCTCCCCCACCCCCAGCAGCCTGAGGGGTCAGTGTCCTTCAGCGACCGGGGAAAGCAGTGCAGACTGGCTCCCATTCGGCACCCAAAGCCCCAGGATAAAGCTGTTTTTCCAACAAAGTTTATTTTATATTTTATTTGTTTTTTGAGACAGGGTCTTTGCTACATAGTTCAGGCTGGCCTTGAACTCGCAGTGATCCTCCTGCCTCAGCCTCCCTGAGTGCTGGGTGTGCCACCAGGCCCCACACTCAAAATTGTTTTAAATGAGACTGGGGATTTGGCTCAGTGGCACCACACCTGCCTTGCAAGCACAAGGTCCTACGTTTGATCCCTGGTACCGGAAACGAAATTATTTTAAGTGTGGTTAAAGAAATGCTGGAATTGGAAGCTGTTGTACTCCTGCCCTGATCTTGGAGTATCCGGCTCCCAAAGCCCCCGAGAAGCTGCAGCATCGGAGTTGCGGCGTCTGTACGCACAGGAGAGCCCAGAGCCTCTGCCCTCCCTCTTTTGTGGCCTGACTTGCTCAGGCCTAACTTCAGACCCCAAGGAAGGGGAGGGGCAGCGGCCTTCTGCGTAACTTGGCTTCTGATCCCCCTTTTCCGACAGGCAGGGGTCTTAACGCTTTAATGAAGTCCCTCCCTTTTCTTTCTTTCTTTTTTTTTTTTTTGGTACCGGGGATTGAACTCAGGACCTGGCACTTGCGAGGCAGTCGCAGAACCACTGAGCTAAATCCCCGCCCTAGTCCCTCCCTTTTCCAAAAAGGTATTCATTAATGTATGTATTTAGAGACAGGGTCTCGCTATGTAGCTCAGGACGGCTTTGAACTCACTAGGCAGCCCAGGCTGGCCTTGAACTCTCAGAGATCCTCCTGCCTCAGCCTGCCGAGCGCTGGGATGACAGCAGCCCCAGCTTCCAGCAAGGTCTGTGATCTTGGACTCACCAAGGGGAGAGATCGAGGCCGTCAGGCTCGCTCTCCGTGCGCCTTCTGAGGTTCCTGAGTGCAGGCGTGGGGCACAGCAGCTGGCGAAGCTGCTTCCATTTCCGACTCAGCCCATAGGTTCGGGGGGCAGGACAGGAAGCGGGGTTCCTCGAACCTCTCCGCAGGGCCTGGCGGTGCGCAGGCTGGAGTCTGCTGGAGCCCCGGAGAAATAATATCCAAGCGGGTGTGGGGGACATGGTCTGGGACCTCACCCCTGAGCCTCTGTAGGATGGGGGAGTCCCCGGAAGACGCTGCTGTCCCTTTCTGCTGTGCGGAAGTCCCGCGGCTCAGCCGCCCGCAGTACAGCACAGGCGCGGGACCAGCCGCCCCTGCGTCCCCTGCAGCAGTCAGGGTCCCCGACGCGGCTGAGGCACCCGCTCCGCCTCTGGCTTTCTCTGGGACTAAGGCTTCCCTTCCCCCACTCCCCACTTCCTCCCGGGCAGGAACCCAGGTTTATCCTGATGCCGCTTCCAACGCTCGGCAAGAATTAGAACTGATGCCGTTTACTCCTTTTGAAAGAACTTGCCTTTAAATCTGTTTTCAGGTGAAGGTTTCCTTTTGGGGAAGAGTTGTCAAGCTGGGCGTGGTGGTCCACGTGTCTTGGGAGGCTGAGGCAGGAGGATTGGATAGCAGTGAGTTGGAGGCCAGCATGGGCTACAGAGTGGGACCCTGACTCAAAAAAAAACAAGCCTTCTGAGCTGCGAAGTAAGAAGCACTGAGCAGAGATTGACATTTGATATACCTGACTGGACTGATATAATCATAAATTCCATCTGACCCAGTTATCCCCCTTCTAGGGATCGTCCAAGAGTTAAAATCATTGTGTTACAGCAATCCATGCATACCCACGTTTACAGCAGCACAACTCAAAATAGCTAAATCTCAAAAGTGGCCTCTACGTCCATGGACAGAGGAATGGAGAAAGATAACGTGGTGTTTACACACAATGGAGCACCTCCAGGCTGTGAAAAAGGATAAACTTGAGTCATTTGCAGGCAAATGGGTGCACCTTGAGTCCATACTGTTAATCGAAGTAATTCAGACACACAAGCCTTAGGGTTAGGGATTTAGCTCAGTGGTTCTGCCTCCTGCCTCGCAAGCACAAGGACACAAGCCTTAATATAGCATGTTTCCTCTTACATGAGAAGCCCAGAGTATGAATAAAGAGCTAAACAGAAGCCAATAGGAAGTAGGGAGGTGGATGTTCCTCAGATGGGAAGGGGATCGAGAGAGAAAAGGAACCGAGATGTGTTGGGTCCATGCACCTACTCCACACAAGGAGTGTGAACATGATTACACACATGTACTAATGAAGGAAACCAATAAATTTTGCAAATATATCATTAAAAAGCCAGTGCTGTTCTATGGTAACATTCTCTACAGGGCCATGGCGGCACTGCCTGGCCATGTGTCGGTTTTCTATGAAAGATGCCGCCTGCCAGGTCTGGAGTGGCCGAGCTAGTGGGCCTTCCGGGTTGCTTTGTCAGGATCCTGTGCACAGGTGGAAGGTGATGGGGACCTCTCGCTCCTCAGAGGGAATGTTCTAGAAGTGGCTTGATGGCGGAGAGAGGAGAGAAACACAGGATTCTGGTCCTGAAGAGAAAAACTCGGAGGAAGAAGGAAGCTGGAACACACCTGTGATTCAGCACATAGGAGGCTGAGGCAGGAGGATCTCCATGAGCTCAAGATCAGCCTGGAATGAATATATATATATATATATATATATATTTTAACTCTGCCCGAAGCTGGTGTGGAGACCGTGGTCCTGGCTTCCAGAGCTGGGTTTCCTCACTGGTCCAATTTTGTTTGCTGCCATTCTGGCCTTTTCTCCTACTAGTTCCTCCATTGTCTACATTTGCCTTTTCTACTTTCTCCTGATCACTGGAACCTTGCACCCTTTTAGAATAGAAATTCTTTTGGGGGGCGTTGAGGTTGAGACAGGATCTCACTATGTAGTCCAGTCTGGCCTTGAACTCACAGGGATCCTCCTGCCTCAGCCTCCTGAGGGCTGGCATTACAGGTACCATATGTGGCACCACACCTGACGCCATTTTGCTTTTTTTTTTTTTTTTGGTACAGGTGCTC